CGAGAGTTGCCACATTTCCTTTAATAAAACATGTATTTTTGACGACATTTATGCATATTTTTCCTTGAAATTGTCATATGTTTTAGATTAAATTGCGAACAAAATTATCTGAAAATTTTGGAAAATAATATTCGCAATTTTCCCGGTAAATTCCGTTTTTATCGGAGGAAACTTGGCAACGTCTAAATGCTTTTACGGCGTTTTTTCTTAGCACACTGCCGTGCTGAGGAAGGACGCCGTATGAGCCTTCAGGCGATGCCAAGTTGCCTTTGATAAATTACCAATTTACTGGGCAAGTTATGAATATTTTTCTTCCAATTTTTCAGGCAACATTGTTTGCAGATTAATGTTAAATATCTGAAAATTTTAAGAAAAAATATGCATGAATGTTGTCATAAATACATGTTTTATTAAAGGAAATTTGGCAACTCATGAATGTTGATACGGCGTTCTTCCTTCCTAGCAGGCGCGGAAAAGCGGAAAACGTGTGCGACGGGGAAGAGAGGAAGGCGAGGAAATTCGGTCAGAGACGATGCGAGTGACAAGTGGTACATTTCACGATTAGTTTAGCCCGTCGTAATAACGGCGAATCTCATGACTAATTGGGGCCCCGTTTTGTCACGTTCGAGCGGACGGGCACCCAACCGCGAGCGCGCCCCCCCCCCCCCCCCCCCNATTGCAGTTTTAGCGGCGCGTTGTCGTAGTCCTAACCTAAATATGATTTCACATCGAGATGAATCTTCTCGCGTGTCATAAACCGAGGGAAAGGCACCTGAAAAAAAATACTTTACGGATCCCGCACCGATAGTTTCCAGTGGCGAGGCGTGAAGGATCGATCATCGATATTTCACCATTTGAAGCCATGGTAAAGAGTCGATTATCAAGGTGTTCGTTGCGAACGCACTGTTTATCGATCCTTTTCCGTAGGTTTAAATGGCGGATTAATCGATATATCGCAAAGCACGCCGCGTAACTGATGGTTTCCCATTATATCTGAATTTTTTTCCTCGGGATTCGCCGGTGTCTTCGCTTAATGATGACTGATGAACGCTGTGTTGAGTGAGCTGTTTAGAACTGCGGGCTAGTTTTTGAAACTGATTGACGAAGCGATAGACATAACGAAAATGGAGCGGTCCTATTAAAGGAAGCGGGTCGTCCCAATAGACAAAGAAAAGTGATGGACTAATTGACGACAACCTACGCCATAGTTAGTCGGTCATTTTCCCCCTCAGCCTAAAACAACCACCCATTTTAACCAATAGACTCGCTCCATTTTCCCATTGTCTTCGTTGTCTATCGATTCCAATAATCAACTCCCTGATTCGACGGACTGCATCGGTAAAATTGAATCCCTCAAAGTGACGTTCATTTGCCGGAGAGTGCGGTCATTTTGACAAAATTTTCCGATAAGGAGCTACTATTTCTGTTTAATCTAATAAAAAAACCATTTACATAGGAAAAAGACGACACATACGTTGTTTCTAAAATGATCCAGAAAAGTAGTTTCCAGTTGCACAATGTGGCTTCCGATTTTTATGGGTGCGCAAAATAACAACCCTCTGAAAATAATATAGTACAATTATCATCAGATAAAACAATGCAAGATTCAACCACTGAATACGAAAAAAAGAAGAATAAGAAGAAGAAAAACCTCTAGATAGGGTCACATTAACATATTCATTTAATTAGAGCTGGTAATTGCAATAATCCAGAACAAAGAAGAGGTTCGCTATGGTATTCTGAAGTTTTTGTCATTTTAGTATTTATGAAGTATTGATGGAAAATTTCTGAAGCCCATACACCAACAGGAGCGATTGTATCGTCGGTGAAACTACCAAACCACGTATCTCGGTTTGCGACGTCGCAGACTTCCTGTCATACTTTATTTTTTAAATGAGAAACCACTTAACATCCAGTCTTGAAAATTTCTGTGATTTTTCCTCTTTGTGCGGAGAAAATTCCGTGAAAATTTCAAGGAATGATATTGATTTGGTCTACTTCAAAAAAATAAAATGTGAGCGTAGATTTTTAAACACTGCAAACGAGATACGTGGTTTGGTAGTTTCACCGTCGATATGCGATAGATACTAGGGGCCAAAAAACAGAGGAAGCAGAATTGGATTGCATTTTGCAAAAAGGAACCAAGTGCATTCCAGTGTCGCTAAGATTGTGCAACTTCTCATTTTACCTTGCAAGTATGAACTGAGCATCTAAACGAGTTTTATCTTCACTCCCAATTAACTAAAGATTCAACACAAAAATTACATTTTACAATTTAGTTGTTTGCATGATTTCAGAAATATCATTTCAAATATTGTAAGTTGCACAATCCTAGCAAAATTGGAATGCTCTTGGTTCCTTTCTAATAATTGCAATCCAATTAACACAAGGGGGTAAAGTGGGCATGCACATTGCTATTTCGCCTTCAATTTGCAAAGTAGGCCTCAAAATATTCTTCGAGCAGTAATAATTGTCTACTTGAGAATTCGTACCCCAGAGTACTGAAGAATCTTGTTGCACGGTAGGTACATTCAGTTGAACTCGAACTTAACAATTTTAATGTTGATTATTCAATATGAATAAGACTACGTGCCGGAAGGTAAATAATTAATAATACAAAATAATTTAATTCTAAATTTCTTTTCGAAATCGCTTATTGCCAAAAATCTATGCTTCCGACAATGAGGAGACGTCTTTTCTCAGGAGTTTCGGTTCGTTTTTCTCTCGTTTCGGCAATGAAAATCCTTTCAATTGCTCACAATCACTTTCGGAATGAGCTCTCTACTGTACTGCCGTGCTAAGGAAGAACGCCGTATAAACATTCGAGAGTTGCCAAATTTCCCTCGATAAAATGTTTATTTTTTAGGAAAGTTATGAATATTTTTCCTTTAAATTTTCAGAATCTTTAGGTAAAATTGCGAGCTAAATTATTTGAAAAATTGGGAGGAAAATATGCTTAAATTTACCAGGAAATTTGCGTTTTATCAAAGGAAATTTGGCAACGCCTGAAGGTTCATACGGCGTTTTTCCTTAGCACGGCAGTGTAGTGCCCGGATGACTTGCCAGAGAGGAGCGCGATGGATGATGATTAAGGTCAATGCCGATGACTCGATGCTCGATGTACTGGTATAAAATGGTAAAATGGTACGTGACGACAACTCAATTGATTTCACCTTCATTTGAATTGCCCCTCTTCCGATCATCGAATCCAAATCAGCAAGTAAGAGCAAGAGTTCGAGCGACAATTGTCTCAGCATTGACTCAGCACGTGATTTGGGTGCTCTTTATCTATACAGCCTTTTCCCTCTTCGTTACGTCACTAACTTGTGCTTCGTAGCTCGTATAAATGTTGTCAGAGAGGAGCTATCCACACGGCCGGATTTAATAGGGGGCGGCCCATGGCGGCAAATTTTGCAATTTTTTTAATGTAGCTGCAAAGAAAAATCGGATTCAGAAAAAAAATTAGAAACGAGAAAAGGTGACAAAATCTCTCATTTCCTGAGAGTATATCTCTAATTTTGTTGTCTTTCTGTGATACAATAGACAGCATCTTTAATTAGTCGAGTTAAGACTAAGTGAGAAACCGAACACGGAATTCGGCCTCGAACGGCGCGGCGCAGAAAGCAATGATGACGAGAACTTGAGATGTAAAGGAGAAACCCGCGGCGCGGCGGTCGGCATGTAACACATATTAGCGCCTACAAGACTGCATGGATACTTCACGCACTGCGTCAAACGGTCAAAGACACTGCGGTCGCTGCGGTTAGCAGCGGGCAGCGTAAAACGCATAGCGCCTACAAGACTGCATGAATACTTCTCGCATTGCGTCAAACACAGTGCGTGAAGCAGCGGTCGGCGTTAAACGCACAGCGCATACAAGACTGTAGGAATGCTTCACGCATTGCGCCGAACACAGTGCGGTCAGCGCGGCGCGGCGGTTGAAGTTAAAATTATTAAACCACATTTATGTTTGTTCTTTCATAATTTTTCCTGCTCGACCTGTAAGTTGGGATGGTCTAACAGGGTTGCAATTTTTCATGAAAAATAAAATCTTGAAATTTCATGTGAAATACTTCATGAAATTTCAGAAAGATATGAAAAATATTGAAAGATATTTTCCAAAATTAAATGCAAAATTGAATGAAAGGCGACTGGTTTTTGCTACTTGGTGTTTTTTAGTGCCCAACCCCTGAAAACATGTTTCATATTTTTCATGTTTCTCACAACTTTGTGAAATTTCATGAAATATTTCAAGGAAATTTTCAATATTTCATATTTTTCATTTCATCCGTGCAACTCTGTAGAGTAGTGGTGGGTCTATATTATTCCGCGGGTTAAACAAGGCCAAAAAATTCCAAAAATATCCACCAGATTTAAACATTTGAATTCTAAACACTGACTTGACAGACGAGTGTGATCTACACTCTTAAAAATTAAGGAGTGAAATCCGGCACCGAAGTCTATGTAGTGTCCGGAAACCCCGATTAATACGAACTTAGCACTATAAAAGTGCATGAAATCCAATAAAAAGAGTAGATTCCGCTCCGTATGATGATCGACTTTTTTCCCATAATATAGTGTAAGTCACTCCGTAAGGAGTATGGATTCCACCCCGCATTTATATCGCACTCGGGGTTTTGGGCGATATTTGGGGGGCTTTTGGGGGGTTTGGGGGGTTTGGGGGGTTTACAGCACAGAATTTCACTCAAAAAAGTTTCAAAAGTCTGCTGATTAGGTCTAAAAAGACCCAAGTTGAAATTGGTCTCTCGGCGTGACCCGAGTAACCAAAATGCATCTAGCACCCTGAGCTGAACACTCTTGCCTCTCATGCAGTTTTTCACTAACTCTAATTAGAATTCAAATTATTTAATCTAATCTAAATTTTTTGAATTTTCTATCCTTGTGTTCTCCGCAGAGTTGTGCGGCCTCAGCACTGTTCCACGATCCCATAAACTACACTAGTGTAGACGATTAACTCATTGGCCCTCTATCTGTTTCAGGAATGAAAGGATTGTTCTATGGAGAGAATAATTACTAGCCGTCGGGATCGGCCCCTCTAGCAACTTGGACCGAATGTCTCAAGTCGGAACCGAGTACTGGTCTCCTGTCGTAAGTATTTTTTCTCTCTTTAAATTTGTTATAATTTTACTCGCAGTGGATCTCAAGTGCACTGGAAAAAAGTATCTTGGATCCGTAGTCGAGACTTTTTACAAATTTGACGTTAAAATTATTATTGATTCAATCGGATTTTGCTTGGGTCAAAAGAAAATTCGCTTAAATTGTGAGGTTTTGCTCTCGATTTAAGCAAAAATCCGATCAAATCAACGGTATTTGTTCCTATATCGGTAGGGAATAACAACGGTATCAAATTTCTTAAGAATCTGGACTCTGAATCCAAGATGTTTTTCCCTGTGTACTCCCAAATAATTTCGAGAGAACAGTTTCATTTTTTAGCAAAGATTTCTTGGAGTCGGATTCAGCTCCTGCAGTTAATAGCTGTAGGTCTGCTTATGGGTCTCGCAGCTGTTATCACTCGAGTAGGAGACTTACAAGAAATTTACTTGACCAGGAGCTTACTACCTATGATCCGTGTTGTATTTCATGATGAAGCATTAGATTATAAAATAATTTAAACGATGAAATTTGAGACTTGTCCACATCAGAAATTGTATTGACTCAACTAATAATGAACCGCGTAACTGCGCTACATCAAATCGTATGATTATACGATTACCTGATAAGAAGAAATATCCATCAATGACATTTTTCTATATTTTTTTATTATGAGCTCAAATATACTTATAGGACATTAAGATCAAGAATGTGTTTTTAAAGAGCCGTATGCAAAAACGACATTTTTCGCCCCCCCACTAAAACTTCTTCAAACTTCGTCTATCAGTTACTAATACTGGAGCGCTTCTTTCCCCAAATTTTCAGACCCCCAAAAAATTTTGGGGGGGCGCTAGAGGGGGTGGAAGTCAAAACCTGGGACCCTCGATATCTTTCGAACGAAACAAGATATTGAGGCCCAGTTTGGACGAAAAATCGTCTAAAATTGCAAACTTTAAGATTCTAAAGGTCAAAATCCCAAAATTAAATTTTTAACTTAACTTATGGGCTTTTTTTCAGTTTTTGAGGAAAAACAATTTCTTTTAAACAGATTAAACTGAAATTTCACATTTTTTGATTTGAACCAAAACCAGTTTTTTAAATTGTTCGTCTTTTTCCGCATCCAACGAGTGGTCGTATAAGCTGGGGAACCGAACGGTTCCGGAGTTATGATCGATTGAAGTTTCCGCTCAACGCGCGCCGACCGATTTTCGCGCGCAAAAAAGTCGGATTTGACTGTTATTAAATCAGATTTAATGTTCAAACTGAGCAAAATGCATTATTAGGGACTCTTGAGGGTCGCCGAGTCCAGAAATTACAGATACTTCCAAAAAATTCACGTTTTTAAAATTACAGCTCCGTACAGGACCACTGAGCGGCCGGTCGGCGCTCAGTGGGCCTCTAAAATAGCGCTACGGAGCTGTAATTTTAAAAACGTGAATTTTTTGGAAGTATCTGTAATTTCTGGACTCGGCGACCCTCAAGAGTCCCTAATAATGCATTTTGCTCAGTTTGAACATTAAATCTGATTTAATAACAGTCAAATCCGACTTTTTTGCGCGCGAAAATCGGTCGGCGCGCGTTGAGCGGAAACTTCAATCGATCATAACTCCGGAACCGTTCGGTTCCCCAGCTTATACGACCACTCGTTGGATGCGGAAAAAGACGAACAATTTAAAAAACTGGTTTTGGTTCAAATCAAAAAATGTGAAATTTCAGTTTAATCTGTTTAAAAGAAATTGTTTTTCCTCAAAAACTGAAAAAAAGCCCATAAGTTAAGTTAAAAATTTAATTTTGGGATTTTGACCTTTAGAATCTTAAAGTTTGCAATTTTAGACGATTTTTCGTCCAAACTGGGCCTCAATATCTTGTTTCGTTCGAAAGATATCGAGGGTCCCAGGTTTTGACTTCCACCCCCCCTAGCGCCCCCCCAAAATTTTTTGGGGGTCTGAAAATTTGGGGAAAGAAGCGCTCCAGTATTAGTAACTGATAGACGAAGTTTGAATAAGTTTTAGTGGGGGGGCGAAAAATGTCCTTTTTGCATACGGCTCTTTAACAATATTGCCATGCCATGCAAAAACTATTCTCCAATGGAACTTACACGCTATACGCTTAAAAAGTTCATTTTCAAATATCTTTAATATATACATCACTTAGTTTGATTGATGCATTTTCAGCATCAGTCTCTATTGTTGAAGTGGAACTAGAAAAGTTTACATGCGTCCATCAATTTTTCAAACGATTTTTGGAAAATATGCAACGAGGAGACTAATGTTCTCTTAGGGGGATCCAGCAAATTGGCAACATGGTTTTCTCTCCATTTAAACCTATGGAAATGTATCGCGCCAGGTACTCCGAAAAGAATCGATAATTTAGGATAGGTTTAAATGGAGAAAATCCGGTGTTGCCAAATTGCTGGATCCGCCTCTGAATGTTCTCCCAGGGGGTATTAAGATTTTATTTTAAATAAACGGATACCAGCTCTTCACATGCTAATGTGGTTGCATACATGTGACATAAAAAACTGCAGTCTATAGCTCTGGAAGGAAGTACATTTGCCAGCCTCTCCCAGCAGAAAAACAGTTATCGTTTCCTTTCGCTTCGCAGGAATGGGCGAAAAACGATAAGATAGTAGCACATCCGGACTGCTGCCTTACACTCGATTGAAACTAAATCGATAATTTTACAAGGTCGCAATGGCAAAGCATTGCGTCTCTCGAAGTTCGATTTTAATTATTCCCTATTCGGAACCATTCGATAATATCGATTCGGTCGAATGGAGGGTATACAAAGTTTTCTGAGAATCCCTCGATGACGCACCAATAGTGAGCTGATGTTGCTGTCTGGATGGTCTAGCCGTTATTATATCTCATGCTCTCTAAAAATAATTTAAATGATTATTGATTTTTATCTTTTAACCGCTCTGATTGTAAGTGAGAAAGTACATATTTGTATTTGTCTCGTGATGGCTGAATTTGTGGATCAACGATTTTACGTGGATGAGGGTCGTGCCTATTTATTCGGCACAGTGTAGTGGCATGCTTTGCGATACATCGATTGCTCTGCCCTTTAAACCTATGAGATGGATTGATAAACAGGACACACCTCAATAATCGATTCTTCACCATAGCTTCAAATGGGGAAATATCGATAAACGATCATCCATGCTACAACGTTGGGTGCCCCAGTTTCTGCGAAACCTGGGAGATAGGGAATTACTCTTCCCATTATTTTAATGAGTTTCATGATTCATATGTTTGCCGATTCAACATTTCTGTTAATGCAGTGCGAGGACGTATGTTGAGTCACAAAAAAAATTCACCGCGGAAGGTAACTACATACATGCATCTGATAATTCTACTGCCGTGGTAAGGAAGAGCGCCGTATCCAGCGCCTTTACTAATTGTTGGTAATTTGGAGTTTTGTTTAAAAAAGTCATTATTAAATGGACCGAGTATGACACAAACTCATTGACTCCCACCCAGTGCGAGTCGTGGATGATTGATTATCGATATTTCTCCATTTGAAGCTGCGGTAAATAATCGATTCTTAAAGGTGTTCGCTGCGAAAACCCTGTTTATCGATACTTTTCCATAGGTTTAAATGGCCGATCAATCAATGTATCGCAAAGCACGCCACACCGCTGCCTTAGTTTCAGATTATCCGCGGGTTTAGATTTTCCGCGGTAGCTACGCCCCGCCCTGATAATGGAGACATTTGGACGTATTTTCATCAAACGGAACTATGTGCATTATGACGTGAGACCTGTTATGCACGTATGGTTATGGGTCTCAGGACTCATGTCTTAATGCACATAGTTCCGTTTGGTAGAAATACGTCCATTTGCATTATAACTTTAATGTCTAGTAAAAAAAATTCGAACCCCTTCGCCCAGGGTCAAGCTCATAATGTGCGAGCTTTTTATCACTTACACCCGGAAGTGCCATAACAGGGAATGTTTTGTGCCAAACTTTCTGGTTTCGCGGAAGTAAGAGCGCCGAAAATGTGAGTAGCATCGTCAAGGTGAGACGCGAGTAGGCGAGAGGTGATTTCACAGGCTCCAAGCATTATGCTGCACCCTTTGTGCATTTGAAACGAGCGAGCAAAAATTAGCTAATATTTGCGACGCGTCAAGGAGACGCTCTTTGTATTTGTCGGTCTCGTAATGGCTGAAATGAGCGCAAAAACCCAATATTTTTCGAAGCCGCTCAAGATACAAACAGTTTCCAGGCGCCGCGGTTTATCATCTTCATTATATCTCTCTTTCAATATTTAGCCACGAAATTCAGACTGTTTAATCAAAATCGTTTCCTGAAACCTTGAGCAGGCAACCAAGGTTGAACTTAGGAGACAAGACTTAGAGTTCCCACACACTCCAGAAATTTTCAATTTATCATTCGTGCCTCTTGTGTTTTCCAAGAAACGCGGAAGGTCCTCTAGTTTTATACAAAATTTACCTCTCAGCATGTATATGTACAAAGTTTTTGAAATTAGGAACCTCAGGCCTCACAGGCACATTGCGTAATATGACGAATCACAAAGGATGCCTCCAGATAAATCTGAAAGAAAAAGGGAAAAAAAGTTTTTGCCTTTATTCGAAAGTTTGCCGATTTTTGTTGAATGAAAAAGCGCCCTGCGCTGAGAGAGGTGGCTCGGAAATTACGGCGCACCATTTTCCACCAAAGCAGATTTTTCAAATGTTAAAAAAGAAACGTTTAAAGGAAAATTTTGGTAGAGTCGCCCAATAATAAGATGCGTCCACCCTCAAGAAATAGTCTCCCATCGAAAATTCAATCTCTGCACCAAAACAAAAGTCACCGACTACAAAGACATACCGTCCGTTTCGGGCTCAGGGGCCAAAAGTCCCGGGTGCCGGAGCCCAGCCGTAGCGCGTAGCTTCGATTGCTCCGGATGCTTCGCCCGGAACTTTCGGCCTCTGAGCCCGGATGGTAGGTCTATATAGCCCGTAAGTACGGCTTCACCAGCCGGAGTTTGAGCGT